TTTATAGAAAAACAAAAATTTTTTTTTTGTTTTCGCGAAGCAGTTGTGCATGAAGTCATTCTTTTTATTTTAATATACAAAATACAAAGATCTATACAGACTCACATGATCTGCTATACGGGCCGCTTTCTTCACTTTGAATCCCGTGGCTCTCGAGGGCTGAGAAGTGCTGCTGTCCATGGCCAACGACCAGCAGGCACTCGCCGCCTTCTTGGCTGTTTGTTCCGCTGTGTATGGCGGCTCGACATATCTGTATTGCACAGGTGATGTATCAGATGTATCATAGAGATAATTTAGGGTTTAGGGTTTAGGGTTTATTGTTTAGGGTTAGGGTTTAGGGTTTATTGTTCTAAAGGGGGGGATCAGCTTACCACGGAGTTCGCTGTGTAGATATACGCCCCCTTTACTTCTCCTCCCGCAGAGCTGTAGAGAATGGCTGTTGTATAGAGGGGCGTGGCGCATGCATATTAATTTTTGTTGACTTGCCTGCAGTCAGGAGGACAGACGATCAAGTGCATGGTGCCCGGGGGGCCACCTAGGCCCTGTCTAGTCTCGAGGCTGTCAAAGCAGGTGAGGTGAACAGGAGAGAGAAACTGCTTCTTTTGAATGAGGGCTTCTTCCTTGTGGAAAGCCCCAACACCCGATGGGTCGCCGTCTCCCTCGCATGCAATCACCACGTCTTCTGCATGCACGCAGTAAATATCATCGCCCACAGCGTGAGGGCACTGGCTAAGCGCTGCCTCTCTGCCTGAATTCTCCTGCGTAAGCCGAATCCTTGCAGAGAAAACAAACAACAAAGAGGCAAACCTGTGCACATGAAGTTGACAGCAGCAATCTTCTCCTGATCTGGACCGCAGTAGTTCTGCCCCATGACGCTGGAACAGCTTTCGTTTCCAGGCCCTTTATCCTAAGCAGTATAAAAATAACGCACAGAGACTTTTCAGCAAAAGATAAACCCTGCATTCACCTTCACATTGTNTAAGCAGTATAAAAATAACGCACAGAGACTTTTCAGCAAAAGATAAACCCTGCATTCACCTTCACATTGTTGTACCCCATCTGCCGGCACGCCACCTGCTCGGCCTTGATGTTCCAGCCATCTGAACAGACGCTGCCGAACTCTGCGTTGAGGTGTTTAGTAGTTAACGAGGATCAGCTCGTCCCATGACAGTTCAAGTTGAACATACCCTTGTTGTAGAACTGCAGGCGGCCTAAGCCCGACTGAGCCGGGGTCCCCGTGGGGCCCACGATACGGATGGTGCCGGCATCAGGCTCAACGCCGGCGAGCCTGTTGGTGCACTTGATGGCTACGTCGTCGTTGTGGTCGAGGCAGGTCGCTGGAGGTTTCTCTGCGGCGCACTCCGCCAGAGACGCTTCATTTCCGCTGCACTGAAAGCAGAGCACGGATTCGTTCGGTTTTTCTTTGCGGAGGCAAAGGACTTTCTTACAGTAATGCCTGGAGGTGCAAGCGGCAGATGAGATAAAGGGAATAGGCAGGCAACAGTAAAGGCATTCGAACGAACCTGCACTCGCCACCGGGTACCCCTTCTCTGCACACAAGTTGGCCCCCTCCACATCCTTGCACCCGTCAAGCAGCAGCGCCCCCGTTCTGAATCCTGAATGAAGATCATTCAGAATTCTGAATGAGAGACAGAGAATGTAGATGGGGGGAAAGCTGCCGCGATTACCGAGCTCTTGGCACGCTTTCAACGCAGTCTCAGGCGAAAACGTCAAGTAGTCGCCTTTGTTGCTGGAAATAAGTGGGTTTTGGATATGTACATATGATGATCGTTTGTTGATGATGTGCTGAAGGAAATGCAGCCGCACCAAACGCTCCCCCAAACCGCTCCGTTCTTCACCTCAAGCCGCCCAACAGACGAAAGTTTGCCGAATTCTTTAACAAAAGTAATTATTTCTCAAATTATTTATTCATATACGCCAGGGAATGCCTGCTCACCGTTTACAACGCGAACACTCGTCTCGATAAGGTCAATGGAGTCTGACGGGAACGTACAGATTGACTTGGCTTGCAAGAGAATTCGTTTTCATGCAGCTTTCTCACCGACGAGGTACATATGGAAGCTGTATTGTTGCCTTTCTGGGGGATAGNTCGTTTTCATGCAGCTTTCTCACCGACGAGGTACATATGGAAGCTGTATTGTTGCCTTTCTGGGGGATAGGCGAAATCCGCTGATTCCATGCCTGAGAGGAAAGGTCGCGTTTGCTGTGCACGTGTTTTTGTTTTATTAGGAACTGAGTTCAACACACCGTTGTATGCAGCGCCTGCGTACTGCTCTACTGGTCCTACAGCTGTCACCACCAGGTCGCCTCCTGAGGGGCTCATCAGACCGTCTAGAATGGCGGCGGTGCATATAGACGAAGGCGCCGGATGCAGTGAAGCCCCTTGTGTGTGGGCGAACTCAGACGCTTGGCAGTTCATGGGGCAGTGAACTTTTGCTTCTATCGCGACACTTGGTTTTCTACGAGAAAATGTTATTCAGGTGTTGCTGATGAATCTGGGTAGCAGTTGCATGCTTGCAAATTGAAATACCCTTCAAACACATCCGCAGCGCGTGTGTGGCAGTCGATGTCTTGCGGCGTCAACTCCAGCCCAGAGGGGTACCGCGGAACGTAAACAGAAGAAGGATGGGGGGCCCCGATCCACCTCGTTACTTTGAAGCTGGCGGCATTGCCGTCTGAACGAACTGTCACATGGTTGCAAAACCAAGGCGACGCAGCTGCGTCGTTGCTGATGACCACAGCTTGCAGGGAGCCGACTGAGCAGGAGGAGGAATTGTTGATTAATATGTATGCAATAAACAACAGCATCAATCATCACCGTCAGCAGCTTGCAGGCGGATCGCTCGATTGCTTCCTGGGGGAAAGCTGCCCTCCAATACTTTCGGCCCGGATGTACGCGACGAGCCAATCAGTGAAATACGCGCGCGTGGGTGAGAGCTGCCTTTAAGTATTTTTGCATTGAATTGCACATTTAGCTCAATAAACTAACAATGAAGCAGGCAGCTTGCCTTTGGGGTCAGTCCCGGTTAGAACCGCCAACTCGTACACTTTGCTTCCCGAAAGAGCAAACGTCTGCACTCCTCAAGGAGAACTTGAATTCGTGTTTTTCGCGCTAGAGACGAGTAGCTTTCTCACCCCCTCTGGAGCCAGTGGTGAGAGAACATCTCCACAATCAAAAATCCAATAGCGAAAGTCTTTCCAGACGGTTATTTGGCGACAAGACCACGCAGTCGGACTGTTTATGTAGGCATGAATAACCTCCGGGTTGCTCACATCAACGCGATCTGCTGTGACTCTGTGCAGCAACACCGGAATAAAAAAAGTTAAAACACAAGCAAGAAAACAACAAAAACATTCCTCACCGTTTGCTTGTTCCGCTGCTAACAGCTGCAATTGAAATCGGTTTCGTACGACGGCCGTTCGACCCCTCCAAAATGATTTTCACGTCGCTTCTGGGC